TGAGGGGCACAGACAGGTGAGTGAGGGGCACAGACAGGTGGGTAAGGGGCACAGACAGGTGGGTGAGGGGGCACAGACAGGTGGGTGAGGGGGCACGGACAGGTGCGTGAGGGGCTCAGACAGGTGCGTGAGGGGCTCAGACAGGTGCGTGAGGGGCTCAGACAGGTGGGAGGGTAAGGGGCTCAGACAGGTGGGTGAGGGGGCACAGACAGGTGGGTGAGGGGCACAGACAGGTGGGTGAGGGCTCAGACAGGTGGGTGAGGGGGCACAGACAGGTGGGTGAGGGGGCACAGACAGGTGGGTGAGGGGCTCAGACAGGTGGGTGAGGGGGCACAGACAGGTGGGTGAGGGGGCACAGACAGGTGGCTGCATGAGGGGCATAGACAGGTGGCTGCATGAGGGGCATAGACAGGTGGCTACATGAGGGGCACAGACAGGTGGGCGAGGGGCACAAACAGGTGGGTGAGGGGCACAGACAGGTGGCTGCATGAGGGGCATAGACAAGGTATGTACAAGTTTGTTAACTTTTACAAAACTTAAAAATTATTTAACCATCTTAACATTTATTCACGAAATACACTTATGTTTTAGGTCATAGGAACCTGACATAAGATATTGAAGAGCCCTTCCCGTCGTGGCCTGCGCCCAGCACGTACCTGGCGTGCGGGGCAGCTGCGCCCAGTACGTACCTGGTGTGAGGAGCAGCTGGGCCCAGTGCGTACCTGGTGTGTGGAGCAGCTGGGTCCAGCACGTACCTGGTGTGTGGAGCAGCTGGGCCCAGCACGTGCCTGGTGTGTGGAGCAGCTGGGCCCAGTACGTACCTGGTGTGTGGAGCAGCTGGGTCCAGCACGTACCTGGCGTGCGGGGCAGCTGGGCCCAGCACGTACCTGGTGTGTGGAGCAGCTGGGCCCAGCACGTGCCTGGTGTGTGGAGCAGCTGGGTCCAGCATGTACCTGGTGTGTGGTGCAGCTGGGCCCAGCACGTGCCTGGTGTGTGGTGCAGCTGGGCCCAGCACGTGCCTGGTGTGTGGTGCAGCTGGGCCCAGCACGTGCCTGGTGTGCGGTGCAGCTGGGCCCAGCACGTGCCTGGTGTGTGGTGCAGCTGGGCCCAGCACGTGCCTGGTGTGTGGTGCAGCTGGGCCCAGCACGTGCCTGGTGTGTGGTGCAGCTGGGCCCAGTACGTGCCTGGTGTGTGGTGCAGCTGGGCCCAGTACGTGCCTGGTGTGTGGTGCAGCTGGGCCCAGTACGTACCTGGTGTGTGGAGCAGCTGGGCCCAGTACGTACCTGGTGTGTGGAGCAGTTGGGCCCAGCACGTGCCTGGTGTGTGGTGCAGCTGGGCCCAGCACGTGCCTGGTGTTTTTTGCAGCTGGGCCCAGCACGTGCCTGGTGTGTGGTGCAGCTGGGCCCAGTACGTACCTGGTGTGTGGAGCAACTGGGCCCAGTACGTACCTGGTGTGTGGAGCAGCTGGGCCCAGCACGTACCTGGCGTGTGGTGCAGCTGGGCCCAGCACGTGCCTGGTGTGTAGTGCAGCTGGGCCCAGCACGTGCCTGGTGTGTGGTGCAGCTGGGCCCAGTACGTACCTGGTGTGTGGAGCAGCTGGGCCCAGTACGTACCTGGTGTGTGGAGCACCTGGGCCCAGCACGTGCCTGGTGTGTGGTGCAGCTGGGCCCAGTACGTACCTGGTGTGTGGAGCAGCTGGGCCCAGTACGTACCTGGTGTGTGGAGCACCTGGGCCCAGCACGTGCCTGGTGTGTGGTGCAGCTGGGCCCAGTACGTACCTGGTGTGTGGAGCAGCTGGGCCCAGTACGTACCTGGTGTGTGGAGCAGCTGGGCCCAGTACGTACCTGGTGTGAGGAGCAGCTGGGCCCAGTACGTACCTGGTGTGTGGAGCAGCTGGGCCCAGTACGTACCTGGTGTGTGGTGCAGCTGGGCCCAGTACGTACCTGGTGTGTGGAGCAGGTGGGCCCAGAACGTACCTGGTGTGTGGAGCAGCTGGGTCCAGCACGTACCTGGCGTGCGGGGCAGCTGGGCCCAGCACGTACCTGGTGTGTGGAGCACCTGGGCCCAGCACGTGCCTGGTGTGTGGTGCAGCTGGGCCCAGTACGTACCTGGTGTGTGGAGAAGCTGGGCCCAGTACGTACCTGGTGTGCGGGGCAGCTGGGCCCAGTACGTACCTGGTGTGTGAAGCAGCTGGGCTCAGTACGTACCTGGCGTGCGGGGCAGCTGGGCCCAGCACGTACCTGGATTGCGGGGCAGCTGGGCCCAGCACGTACCTGGCGTGTGGGGAAGCTGGGCCCAGTACGTACCTGGTGTGTGGAGCAGCTGGGCCCAGTACGTACCTGGCGTGCGGGGCAACTGGGTCCAGTACGTACCTGGTGTGAGGACCAGCTGGGCCCAGTACGTACCTGGCGTGCAGAGCAGCTGGGTCCAGTACGTACCTGGCGTGCAGAGCAGTTGGGTCCAGTACGTACCTGGCGTGCGGGGCAACTGGGCCCAGTACGTACCTTGCGTGCAGGGCAGCTGAATCCAGTACGTACCTGGTGTGCGGGGCAGCTGGGTCCAGCACGTACCTGGCGTGCAGGGCAGCTGGGTCCAATACGTACCTGGCGTGCAGGGCAGCTGGGTCCAGTACGTACCTGGCGTGCGGGGCAGCTGGGTCCAGCACGTACCTGGCGTGCAGGGCATCTGGGTCCTGTACGTACCTGGCGTGCGGGGCAGCTGGGTCCAGCACGTACCTGGCGTGCGGGGCAGCTGAGTCCAGTACGTACCTGGTGTGCGGGGCAGCTGGGCCCAGTACGTAAATGGCGTGCGGGGCAGCTGGGTCCAGCACGTACCTGGCGTGCGGGGCAGCTGGGTCCAGCACGTACCTGGCGTGCGGGGCAGCTGGGCCCAGTACGTACCTGGCGTGCGGGGCAGCTGGGTCCAGTACGTACCTGGCGTGCGGGGCAGCTGGGCCCAGTACGTACCTGGCGTGCGGGGCAGCTGGGTCCAGCACGTACCTGGCGTGCAGGGCAGCTGGGCCCAGTACGTTCCTGGTGTGTGGAGCAGCTGGGTCCAGTGCGTACCTGGCGTGCGGGGCAGCTGGGTCCAGCACGTACCTGGCGTGCAGGGCAGCTGGGCCCAGTACGTTCCTGGTGTGTGGAGCAGCTGGGTCCAGTGCGTACCTGGCGTGTGGAGCAGCTGGGTCCAGTACGTACCTCGCGTGCAGGACAGCTGGGCCCAGTACGTACCTGGTGTGTGGAGCAGCTGGGTCCAGTACGTACCTGGCGTGCAGGACAGCTGGGCCCAGTACGTACCTGGTGTGTGGAGCAGCTGGGCCCAGTACGTACCTGGCGTGCAGGACAGCTGGGTCCAGTACGTACCTGGTGTGCGGGGCAGCTGGGCCCAGTACGTAAATGGCGTGCGGGGCAGCTGGGTCCAGCACGTACCTGGCGTGCGGGGCAGCTGGGTCCAGCACGTACCTGGCGTGCGGGGCAGCTGGGCCCAGTACGTACCTGGCGTGCGGGGCAGCTGGGCCCAGTACGTACCTGGCGTGCGGGGCAGCTGGGCCCAGTACGTACCTGGCGTGCGGGGCAGCTGGGCCCAGTACGTACCTGGCGTGCGGGGCAGCTGGGCCCAGTACGTACCTGGTGTGCGGGGCAGCTGGGCGTGCATATGGAGCGGCCCACTCTCCACGCCGTGAGGTGTTCGGATGATGGCGGCGGCTTCGGCCCACACCCACCCTCGCCTCGCCTGCTGGACATCCTATCGGCTCGAGGCAATATGAAATAATTATTATATGAAATACATAAGGATCGAAGATATTAATTTTAATAATTGCTGTAATGATGATGATAATTCAGAAAATTATGTATTTTTTCGAGTACAACTGGACAAACAGGACGATGTGAGGATCTATGTCGGCAACTCTATCCTCAATGTATTTAATCTGTATGATCCAGCAGGAAAGTTAAATTATATTGATCTTCCAGCCAGCACTCAAGCTGAGCCCACCATCATTCTTGGTGACTACAATGCTAGACACAAGGACATTGGTGGCTCTCGCTTCAGTAACGGTAATGGGAATCAACTGCTGTCGCTACTAAATAGTCACCAAGATGTGCAGATTGTGGGTGACCTTGAACCCACGCATATTTGTGGAGGCATTCTAGACCTCTGAGTTGGTTCCAATGTCTCACGTCTGGTGCACATTTGTTGTCAGGTCATTACCCTAGATTGACTTCTCTATGTATCGGAAATACCGTCCTGCCCGGTGAGACTTTTAAACGCAAACGGCTCAGTGTTCCTCCTGCTCGACGTGAAGACTTTGTTGCTCATGTGTCAGAGTGGTACAGCACTTATGATCCCTCCACAGTGGACATACATACATGGACACCATCCATGGGTGTACTGAACACCGTAGACACCATCCATCGGTGTACTGAACACCGTAGACACCATCCATCGGTGTACTGAACACCGTAGACACCATCCATCGGTGTACTGAACACCGTAGACACCATTCATCGGTGTACTGAACACCGACGGTAGTCACCACCCCGGCATACTCAGGTGTTAACATTAAGAGCACTCATTATTCCACGACAGAACACACGGACTCGCTCGCGCGCGTGCGCGCTCGCACACACACACCTCGTAGCCTGGTGGATAGCGCGCAGGATTCGTAATTCTGTGGCGCGGGTTCGATTCCCGCACGAGGCAGAAACAAATGGGCAAAGTTTCTTTCACCCTGAATGCCCCTGTTACCTAGCAGTAAATAGGTACCTGGGAGTTAGTCAGCTGTCACGGGCTGCTTCCTGGTGTGTGTGTGTGTGTGTGTGTGTGTGTGTGTGTGTGTGTGTGTGTGTGTGTGTGTGTGTGTGTGTGTGTGTGTGTGTGTGTGTGTGGTGTGGGGAAAAAAAAAAAAAAAAAGTAGTTAGTAAACAGTTGATTGACAGTTGAGAGGCGGGCCGAAAGAGCAAAGCTCAACCCCCGTAAAAACACAACTAGTAAACACACACACACACACACACACACGCACGCACACAAACACACACACACGCACACACACGCACACACATGCACACACACACATTCATACACACATTCACACACACACATGCACACACACACGCACGCACGCACACGCAGCCCTGTAGTGTAGCCCTGCTGGTAAGAAAAGGCTGGGATTTTGAGGAGTTGGTTGTTCAGGGATGCGAAGGTTTTAGTGACTACATAGCAGGTACCATAACTGGAGGGCAAAAAATTATAGTCGTAGTCATATATAATCCACCACCAATATACCACGATCTTCCAGAGGGTATAGACTCATTCCTCTCAATGTTTGCTGATGATGCAAAAATTATGAGAAGAATCAAGACGGATGAAGATAGACAGAGACTACAGGATGACCTGGATAAACTGGAGGAATGGTCTAGAAAATGGCTGCTGAAGTTCAACTCTGGAAAGTGTAAGCTGATGAAATTAGGTGAAGGGAGCAGGAGGCTGAACACAAGGTATCATCTGGGAGGGGAAATCCTGCAAGAATCAAATAGAGAGAAGGATCTGGGGGTTGATATCACACCGAACCTGTCCCCAGAGGCCCACATCAAAAGAATATCATCAGCGGCATATGCTAGACTGGCCAACATAAGAACTGCCTTTAGAAACTTGTGTAAGGAATCTTTCAGAACCCTGTATACCACTTATGTAAGACCAATCCTGGAGTATGCAGCTCCAGCCTGGAGTCCATACCTAGTTAAGCACAAGACAAAGTTAGAGAAGATTCAGCGGTATGCCACCAGGCTCGTCCCGGAACTGAGAGGATTGAGCTACGAGGAAAGGCTAAAGGAGCTGAACCTCACATCCCTGGAAAACAGAAGAGTAAGGGGAGACATGATAACCACCTACAAAATTCTCAGGGGAATTGACAGGGTGGACAAAGACAAACTCTTCAGCACGGGTGGGACACGAACAAGGGGACACAGGTGGAAACTTAGTACCCAGATGAGCCACAGAGACGTTAGAAAGAATTTTTTCAGTGTCAGAGTAGTTAATAAATGGAATGCACTAGGAAGTGATGTGGTGGAGGCTGACTCCATACACAGTTTCAAATGTAGATATGATAGAGCCCAGTAGGCTCAGGAATCTGTACACCAGTTGATTGACAGTTGAGAGGCGGGACCAAAGAGCCAAAGCTCAACCCCCGCAAGCACAATTAGGTGAGTACAATTAGGTGAGTACCAAATGACAGAAGACCCAGAAAGGAATATGATAGAAACAATATGGCCACCATTAACATAATGGAGAGAGCAGCTTCTGTTGCTAGCAGGAATGGACCTGGAGTAGTTATCATGAGTGACTTCAACCATGGGAGGTTATCTTGAGATGATTTCGGGGCTTTTTTTTTTTTTAGTGTCCCCGCGGCCCGTTCCTCGACCAGGCCTCCACCCCCAGGAAGCAGCCCGTGACAGCTGACTAACACCCAGGTACCTATTTTACTGCTAGGTAACAGGGGCATAGGGTGAAAGAAACTCTGCCCATTGTTTCTCGCCGGCGCCTGGGATCGAACCCAGGACCACAGGATCACAAGTCCAGCATGCTGTCCGCTCGGCCGACCGGCTCCCTGTAGCCGGGAAGATAGATTGGGAGAACAGAGACCAGCATGAAGGACCAGAAACATGGAGAGCTAAGCTGCTGGACGTGGCAACAAGAAACTTTCTAAGCCAGCACATCAAGGATCCAACAAGAATGAGAGAAGATGAACCAGCAATGCTTGATCTGATATTTACCCTAAATGAGTGGGATATAAGGGAAGTCAAGATAGAAGCACCTTTGGAAATGAGTGATCACAGTGTATTGAACTTTGAGTACCTGGTAGAGCTAGGAATTATCCACCCCGAAAAAGAACTAGAAAACAAAAGGCTGGCATACCGAAAGGGAAATGATGAGGAGATGAGAAACTTTCTAAGGGAAATACCTTGGGACACAGACCTCAGAGATAAGTCTGTACAAGATATGATGGACTATGTCACCCAAAAGCGTCAGGAAGCAGATACATCCCGGCCCAAAAGGAAAAATCCGAGAAGCAAAAGAAGAATCCATGGTATAATAGGGCATGTATGGAAGCAAAGAAACTGAACAAAAGGGCGTGGAGGAACTTCCGGAATAACAGAACACCAGAAAGCTGAGAGAGATACCAGAGAACCAGGAATGAGTACGTCAGGGTGAGAAGAGAAGCAGAGAAAAGTTATGAAAATGATATAGCAAACAAAGCCAAGACCGAACCAAAGTAACATCAGAAGGAAAACAACAGTGAACGAACAGGTAGTGAAACTTAGAACAGGCGAAGACAGGTATACAGAGAATGACAAAGAGGTGTGTGATGAACTCAACAAGAGGTTCCAAGAGGTCTTCACAACAGAACAAGGTGAGGTCACTGTGCTAGGAGAAAGGGAAGTAAACCAGGCGGCCTTGGAAGAGTTCGAAATTACGAGAGAGGAGGTTAAGAGACACCTGCTGGATCTGGATGTTAGAAAGGCTGTTGGTCCAGACGGGATCTCGCCATGGGTACTGAAAGAGATTCATTTCTCTCAATGTTTGCGGACGATGCCAAAATTATGAGAAGGATTAGGACTGAAGAGGACTGTTTGAGGCTTCAAGAAGACCTAGACAAACTGAAGGAATGGTCGAACAAATGGTTATTACAGTTTAACCCAAGCAAATGTAATGTAATGAAGATAGTTGTAGGGAGAAGGAGACCAGATACAAGGTATCATTTGGGAGATGAAATATTTCAAGAGTCAGAGCGAGAGAGAAAGACCTGGGGGTTGATATCACGCCAGACAACCTGTCCCCTGAAGCTCATATCAAGAGAATAACATCAGCGGCATATGCCAGGTTGGCTAACATAAGAACGGCCTTTAGAAACTTGTGTAAGGAATCTTTCAGAACATTATATACCACATATGTCAGACCAATCCTGGAGTATGCGGCTCCAGCATGGAGTCCATATCGAGTCAAGCATAAGACTAAACTGGAAAAGGTTCAAAGGTTTGCCACCAGACTAGTACCCGAGCTGAGGGGTATGAGCTACGAGGAGAGACTACGGGAATTAAACCTCACGTCACTGGGAGACAGAAGAGTTAGAGGGGACATGATCACCACATACAAGATTCTCAGAGGAATTGATAGGGTAGATAAAGACAGGCTATTTGCCACAAGGGGCACACACACTAGGGGACACGGGTGGAAACTGAGCGCCAAAATGAGCCACAGAGATATTAGAAAGAACTTTTTTAGCGTCAGAGTGGTTGACAAATGGAATGCATTAGGAAGTGATGTGGTGGAGGCTGACTCCATACACAGCTTTAAGTGTAGATATGATAGAGCCCAATAGGCTCAGGAACCTGTACATTAGTTGATTGACCGTTGAGAGGCGGGACCAAAAAGCCAGAGCTCAACCCCTGCAAGCACAACTAGGTAAGTACCAGTTTATTGACAGTTGAGATGCAGGACCAAAGAGCCAGAGCTCAACCCTCTGCACAACTAGGTGAGTACAAACACACCCACACGCACAAAGTTCGAGATGATTCAGCGGTATGCCATAAGACTCGTCGCGGAACTGAGAGGTATGAGTTACGAGGAAAGGCTAAAGGAACTAAAACTCACGTCCCTGGAAGACAGAAGAGTAAGGGGAGACATGATACCTACCTACAAAATTCTCAGGGAAATTGGCAGGGTGGACAAAGACAAACTCTTTATCACGGGTGGAACACGAACAAGGGGACACAGGTGGAAGTTGAGCGTCCAAATGAGTCACAGAGGTATTAGAAAGACCTTTTTCAGTGTCAGTAGTTAACAGGTGGAATGCATTAGGCAGTGATGTGGTGGAGGCTGACTCCATACACAGTTTCAAATGTAGATATGATAGAGCCCAGTAGCCTCAGGAATCTGTACACCAGTTGATTGACAGTTGAGAGGCGGGACCAAAGACCCAAAGCACATCCCCCGCAAGCACAAATATGTGAGTACCCACACACACACACACACATAGGAACGTACATATATAGGAACAGAGATATGATAGGAACGTATAAAATACTCGGGGGAATTTACAGTGTGGACATAGACGAAATGTTCACACGTAATAATAACAGAACGAGGGACATGGATGGAAGCTGGAAACTCAGATGAGTCACAAAGATGTTAGGAAGTTTTCTTTTAGCGTGACAGTAGTGGAAAAATGGAATCACTTATAGGTTGTGGAGCGAATTCTATTCATAATTTTAAAACTAGGTATGATAGGGAAATAGGACCGGGGTCATTGCTGTAAACAACCGATGCTCGAAAGGCGGGATCCAAGAGTCAATGCTCGATCCTGCAGACACAAATAGGCGAGTACACACACACACACAAATCACAATAAGCACAAATCACAAATTACCCAAGTACAAATCCTTCCTTGTCCCGACACAATGCCCACCATATTACCCAAACCAACCTCTCTCTCCTTATGCCGGGTACCCCCTGCCTTCCCATCCCCTGGTCTTCTTCCTGCCCCAAGTAGGCCCCGGCAAGATCTAAGTTCTCCATCCCCCACCCCACCCCCTTCCAAACCCCTGTTAACTACACCACAGGAGAACGAGGCCTCACCCCGAGCACTCCCTGCCCCTCAACCCCGAGCACTCCCTGCCCCCCAACCCCGAGCACTCCCTGTCCCCCAACCCCGAGCACTCCCTGCCCCCCAACCCCGAGCACTCCCTGCCCCCCAACCCCGAGCACTCCCTGCCCCCCAACCCCGAGCACTCCCTGCCCCCCAACCCCGAGCACTCCCTGCCCCCCAACCCCGAGCACTCCCTGCCCCCCAACCCCGAGCACTCCCTGCCCCCCAACCCCGAGAACTCCCTGCCCCCCAACCCGAGCACTCCCTGCCCCCCAACCCCGAGCACTCCCTGCCCCTCAACCCCGAGCACTCCCTGCCCCTCAACCCCGAGGACTCTCTGCCCCCCCCCCCCCAACCCTGAGCCCTCCCTGCCCCCCCACCCCCAACCCCGAGCACTCCCTGTTCTACACCCCAAGGAATTCTTCCTGGTCCAAACAAGTCTGAGCAATTTCTGAGACCCTCCCCCCCCACCTCCCCGAGACCTCTTCCCGAACCCCTGGTAAGTACCCCACAGGAAAAAAGAGCCTACTCAAGTAGCAATGCCCATGAAACAGCTTCCTACTCTCGTGGAGAGGGTGGGTGAAAATGCATATAGGAAAGCGAGTTTCAAGGTAATGTACTCAAACATCGATGGGATTGCCAACAAAGCAAGTAAGCTGGCAGAAAGAGCCCAGGAAGAAACCCCAGATGTAATAGGACTCCCAGAAACAACATTGTCATTAGTCATAACAAATGCCGTGTTTCCAAAGGACTACTAGATAGTAAGGAAAGAGAGGGAATGGAGAGGAGGAGTGTCCCTCCTGATAAGGAAGGACTGGAGCTTTGAAGAGACGGAAATTCCGGGCTGTGATGGATTCAGAGAGTACATAACAGGAACTATGACAATGGGTGGAGCTAAGATAATAGTGGCAGTCATTTACAACCCTCCAGTAAGTGACAGAAGACCCAGCCAGGAGTTCGACAGACCCAACATGGCAACCAATAATATAATAGAGAGAACAGCTTCAGTTGCCTGCAGAAATGGATCCCGACTCTTAATCATAGGCGATTTCAACCATGGAAAGATAGACTGGGAGAATGGGGACCCATGTGGAGGTGAAGATATATGGAGAGCTAAACTCTTGGAAGTGACAACATTGAACTTTCTGAGCCAACATGTCAAGGGACCAACAAGAATGAGAGGGAATGACGAACCAGCAAGACTCGACCTGATATTCACCCTGAATGAGTCAGAAATAAGGGAAGTCAAATTTGAAGCTCCCATAGGAATGAGTGACCACAGTGTATTGACATTTGAGTATCTGGTAGAGGTTGGGATCATCTATCCAAGGATGGGATTGAAAGGGAAAAGACTAAATTACCGAAGAAGAAAATATAACGAGATGATGAGCTTCCTAATGGTAATACCATGGGAAACAGAAGTCAGAGAAAGGACTGTACAGGATATGATGGGTTATGTCACCCAGAAGTGCCAGGAAGCTGCAGACAGGTTTATCCCAGTCCAAAAAGAGAAAAATGGAAATTAACAGTAGAATCCGTGGTTCTATCATGGTTCAATGTACGGTAGCGAAACAAGTGAGTAAAAGAACATGGAGAAACTACAGCAATAACAGAACACCAGAGAGCAGAGAGAGATACCAGAGGGCCAGAAATGAGTACCTCAGAGTGAGAAGAGAAACAGAGACATTATGAAAATGACATGGCAAGTTAAGCTAAGACCCAACCAAAACTGCTCCACAGCCACATCAGGAGGAAAACAGCAGTGAAGGAACATGTGATGAAACTGAGAAAAGGGAAGAACAGATATACAGAGTATGACAAGGTGTGTGAAGAACTCAACAAGAGATTCCTGGAGGTCTTCACAATAGAACAAGGAGAAGTCCTTACACTAAATGAGGAGGCAAACCAAGCAACCTTGGAGGTATTTGACCTCACCAGTGATGACGTCAAAAGGAATCTGTTGGAGCTGAATGGGAAAAAAGCTGTTGGGCCTGACAGAATCTCACCGAGGATACTAAAAAAAAGATGCAGAAGCACGAAGTGGCCCACTCTCTATGGTGTATAACAGGTTACTGGAAACAGGAGACCTACCAGAAAGCTGGAACACACCTAATATAGTCCCAATATACAAAAAGGGTGACAGGCAAGAGGCGCCGAACTACTAGCCAGTTTCCCTAACTTGTATACCTTGCAAGGTAATGAAGAGAATTGTGCGAAAAAGCTAGTGGAACATCTGCAGAGAAAGAACTTTGTAACACATCAGCATGGGTTCAGGGATGGTAAGTCATGTCTCGCAGGATTAAATGAATTTTACGACCAGGCAACACAAATCAGGCAAGAAAGAGAGAGGTGTGCGGACTGCATATTTTTGGATTGCCAGAAAGCCTTTGACACAGTACCACACAAGAGATTAGAGGAAAAAATGATGAGAGCAGGGGTCAGTCCTTGGACCTACACTGTTTGTGATATATGTAAATGATCTCCCAGAAGGTATAGAATCGTTCCTCTCATTGTTTGCATTTGCTGATGGAAAAATTATGAGTAGGATTCAGACAGAGAAAGATAGTACGAGGCTACAAGATGACTTAGACTGAATGAATGGTCCAACAAATGGCTACTAAAGTTCAACCTGAGTAAATGAAAGGTAATGAAACTAGGTGGTGGAAACAGGAGGCCAGACACAGGATACAGAATGGGAGATGAAGTCCTTCATGAAACTGGACAGAGCGAAAGATCTAGGATTTGATATCGCGTCAAACCTATCTTCTGAAGCTCACACCAAAAGAATAACATCTGCGGCGTATGCAACTGGCTGTGTAAGTAATCATTCAGAACCTTGTATAGCACATATGAAAGACCAATCCTGGAGTATGCGGCCCTAGCTTGGAGCCCGTACCTTGTAAGTACAAGACGAAGGTGGAAAATGTTCAGATGCATGCCACTAGGTTAGTCCAAGAACTAAGAGGCATGAGTTACGAGGAAAGGCTGCGTGAAATGCACCTCACGACACTGTAAGACAAAAGAGTAAGGGCAGACATGATCACTATCTACAAAATTTTCTGCAGAATTGACAGGATAGATACGGATAAACTGATTAACACGGGTGGTACGCGAACAAGGGGACACAGGTGGAAACTGAGAACCCAAATGAGCCACAGGGACGTTAGAAAGAACGTTTTCAGTATCAGTAGTTGACAAATGGAATGCATTAGGCAATGATGTGGTGGAGGCTCACTCCATACACAGTTTCAAACGTAGAAATGATTGAGCACAGTAAGCTCAGGAATCTGTACACCAATTGAATGAGAGAATTGAGAGGCGGGACCAAAGATCTCCAGCAACCACGATTAGGTGAGTTGCACACAGTTGGTGTGTGAATACGCTCACACACTCGCGGGTGAGTGGACAGCGTTCTGGGGTTGTAATTATAAGGGCCCGGGTTCGATTCCCGGCCAAGGCGGAAATAAATGGGCAGAGTTTCTTTCTCCCTGGTGCACCTGTTCACCTAGCAGTAAATAAGTACCTGGGAATTAGACATATGTTACGGGTTGCTTCCTGGGGAGTTGTGTGTGTGTGTATTTAAGAGAAAAATAGTTCGGTTAGAAAGGCGGGGTCCAAGAGTTAATAGCTGGATTCTGCTGACACAAGAATAGTAAATACACAAATTGTTGTCAACATATGAACTTTACACATTTAACGTGGATGTATTTCAGGGTAGAGTACTAGCAGGACATAGACAGGCTGAAGTCAAGGATCAAGTTTGTAATATTTAATAAATAATGAAGAAATCACTTATCATCGAGGATGTACCTGATGGTGTGGTTGAGGGCGGCGGTGTCCTGAAGGCGTGCGGTGTTTGGACACCATGTGGGCGGCTGAGGGCGTGTGAGCGAGAGGGCGTGGGTGGTGGGCTGTGGCAGGTATTGGAGTGGCGGACGGCGTTTGGGCCACCATAGCCCAGGCCTCAAAGGAAGCCAGGTTACGGACCATGGAGGACCCCATCACTTCCAGCTGCTCCATCGCGTCTTGACCCAGGAAGGCCACCGCATCGGGCTGTGGGGGAGGGGGGGGGGGAGACGTAATTTGCAACAAAGATGAAGTTGAATTAGATCTAGGTAACCCATCTCTGCTGTCAAAACTGTATTGGTCCAAACACTCAGGTCTGATAGGAAAGAAATAACCGACTCCAACGACCTGAAAGTACTAGTATAAAAACCTATGATTTGTTCATATCTGAAACATATATATGGGCAGAACAAAACTGCGACCAAACTGTGTGACACAGTGGTTGCCAGGATCAGGTTGGGTTACCGTTACCTGTGGCAGGTGGCTACAGGTGACGGATCTCCCAATCCTGAGCACCCCAGGTGCAAACTCTGTGAGCAGGAACTGCGGCACGATTTCCCACACTACATCACCGATTGCCCGGTTATTAGACCATTCAGACCCGTTGGCATGAGGTACCTGGAGCTTTGCAGTTACTTTATTCACTCTCGTGTTCTTGAAGATATCCTCACAGTGTACCCGAAATTTGCCAGTGCAGGCTAGTAAACATATGGCCCTTGAGGTTATCTTGAGATGATTTCGGGGCTTTTTTAGAGTCCCCGCGGCCCGGTCCTCGATCAGGCCTCCACCCCCAGGAAGCAGCCCGTGACAGCTGACTAACACCCAGGTACCTATTTACTGCTAGGTAACAGGGGCATAGGGTGAAAGAAACTCTGCCCATTGTTTCTCGCCGGCGCCAGGGATCGAACCCGGGACCACAGGATCACAAGTCCAGCGTGCTGTCCGCTCGGCCGACCGGCTCCTTATGACTAACCATCCTGCGAGATGGGGACTTTTATTACTACTGCTACCTTATTCACTCTTGTGTTGAAGATATCCTCAAAATGCATCCGGAGTCTGCCAGTGCAGTCTTCCTATCACATGCCTCTGAATGACTAACCATCCTGTGTGATGGAGATTTTTTAGGACCACGTAGCTAGCTTTTTTGACGCACTGTACTCCACTTCATATAGTCTAGGGTAGCTGCACAAATGCAGATGTACCTCATGTATTAATAAAAAAAAAGGTGGGGCAGACGTTCACGGCATGAACCCTCAAGATGAAGCACAGACAAGAGTGAGCAGCGTGTAGAGCAGTGACTGGAAGCCACCTTCACGCCGCGAGGAAGTTGTCAGGCATTACACTAGGCACCAGCCATTACTCAGAGAGCGAGGCCCATGACCTAAATCTTACCCTCCCATAGGCACATCTACTTACTTGCATCAGTAATGCATCATATATTGCAAATATTGCTGTTCTTTAACTGCGTGAAGTTGCAAGCGTGTGTGCATGTATTAGTTTACCAACATACATGTAAAGTTATAAATGAAAACATGTTCACCCACATAAACATATGTTTGCCATTGTTTATAAACAGTGTATAAACATGTGAAACATATGTATACATGAGAGAACCAATAAAGGTAACATGGTGCCCCATGTGTTGTGAGACTGACGACGGCAACAACGATGAGGACGCGGCCAGGCATGAGGGCCAGGAGGCAGGAGGCCAGGTTGCGGTGCTCGGCCGGCTGGTGAGTGAGGAAGTGACGGGCCAGCATGGTGTGGCCCCCACCTGACTCCAGCACCACCACGTGCACTCCAGAGTGGCTCCTCGGGGCGCGGCCCTCTCCTCCCTTCTTCTCGTACACCTGCGGGACACACACACAGTCACAGTCAAGGGCACAGTGGGGTGAGGGGCACAGACAGGTGGTGTGAGGGGAACAGACAGGTGGTGTGAGGGGAACAGACAGGTGGTGTGAGGAACACAGACAGGGGGGGGCTGAGGGGAACAGACAGGGGGCTGAGGGGAACAGACAGGGGGGGCTGAGGGGAACAGACAGGGGGGCTGAGGGGAACAGACAGGGGGGGCTGAGGGGAACAGACAGGGGGGGTGAGGGGAACAGACAGGTGGGGTGAGGAGAACAGACATGTGGGGTGAGGGGCACAGACAGCGGGGTTGAGGAGAACAGACATGTGGGGTGAGGGGAACAGACAGGTGGGTGTGGGGCACAGACAGGTGTGTGTGGGGCACAGACAGGTGTGTGTGGGGCACAGACAGGTGGGTGTGGGGCACAAACAGGTGGGTGAGGGGCACAGACAGGTGGGTGAGGGGCACAGACAGGTGGGTGTGGGGCACAGACAGGTGGGTGTGGGGCACAGACAGGTGGGTGTGGGGCACAGACAGGTGGGTGAAGGACACAGACAGGTGGGTGAAGGACACAGACAGGTGGGTGTGGGGCACAGACAGGTGGGTGAAGGGCACAGACAGGTGGGTGAAGGACACAGACAGGTGGGTGAAGGACACAGACAGGTGGGTGTGGGGCACAGACAGGTGGGTGTGGGGCACAGACTGTGGGAAAATTGTTGGAATTGATACAATGAGGAAAACTATTAGGGACTTGTACTGTACTAAATACAAAAAATTACTGGATGCAAAATTAACTCATCTAAAGTCCCTAGCTAGGGTCATAAATCCTAGCTCCTCTTTTGCTAATGACAGACTGTGGGCTGTAATGGGCAGGTGGGGTCCCTAAGGGTGAAAGGCGAAGTTGATTGAAGATCCACAATCCACCTGTAGACAATTCAACACATCAGCTTGTATTGTTAATACAAGGACAAGATTTAATAAACTCAGTTCTATAACTGAACACGTGTTCTGTTTAAATCAAGGATCTGAACATGTACACAATCCTGCCTAGCACCGTATCTATAACAGTCAATATTCTTATACTAATAAACACAACAATTAGTATTATGGAGGTATGATATTTGTGAATATGTAATCAAGTGACCTTAAATGTGGTCCATGTTCTGGTAACTAAGTACAAGAGATTAAATTCAATATGATAAACATATATGATAAATTAAAGATAACTGAGCAAACAATTGTTACCTAATGTATATGATCAATTATATATAGAAATATATTAAATTTATATTAAGAGTTTCAGTTAAGCTTGACTTTCAATGACTGATATTGGAACTCATGAGTGTCTAGATATTTTGAAAGGGTTCAGTTACTTAAAGATTAATAAAAACCTACTGAAATATGAGGCATTGCCTCACCCTGTAATGACAAACAGACTTATTTGATATATCAAGGTTATACAAGCATGCAATTGGCCAATTAACACACCAAAATAACTCAATATACTTATGTCTGAGTGCCCACTGACAAGTTGTCAGACTGATAACTCTCTTGTAGAGTTCAGGCACTATATTTTACGTCACAGCTTTGCTGTTTATTATTCTGGTAGCATAGCTAATTGATTATGCCCTTAATAGCTTTGCTGTAGGATACGATGAAGTTGGCGGTGAAGGTAGAGGCGGCGTCACTTGGTATGCTTCACTCTACACTCTTATTTACATAAAGTACTAGGAATTTTTCCTTATAGATATAGTCAAGGTACTCCCTCAGTTCTAGAGAGTAATCACTGGTGATAAAGATAATTTAGTATGGTGTCCTATACCGAAAATTGTTGTCAAGGCACAGTCACACTTGTTCACTCTGTTTGTAAACAAACACTTTCCGTCTCGGGGAGCCCCGTAGGTCGGTTTACTCCCGAGTTGGCTCCACCTTCTTCTTGAGCAAGGTAGCCTTCAATGCCTATTGATTATTTTTACTGTCTAGACATATGATTGAGATAAGATGTGATTATAATATAATTAGATACAGGATTTAAAGATTATTTGCAGAACCTGATAGTACTACTGATTCTTATTAAGGATTTGATTTCCTTACCGGAAATCGATTGATTGTTCCAACAGTTAATTATGATATCCTTCCAGAAGCTTCTAGATCCTTGAGAAATCATCCACCAAGTCACGTAGACACCTTGGACCCTATGGCGTACGTGATCATACGTGGCATTGTCATGTAGGATCCAGATGTAGGATATAATGAATCTGTAGTGATTCCGATATAATTCTGATATGATATAGAAATAATACGTATCTTAGACAAAAATATTATAGTGGGTAAAATTTCCCACACAGATAGGTGGGTGAGGGGGGTTCATGCAGGTGGGTGAGGGGTACTGAAAGGTGGGTGAGGGGTACAGACAGGTGGGTGAGAGGTATAGACAGGTAGGTGAGGGGTACAGACAGGTGAGTGAGGGGTAGAGAAGGATGTGTGAGTGGTACAGACAAGTGGGTGAGAGGCACAGACAGGTGAGTGAGGGGGGTACATACAGGTGGGTGAGGTACACAAGTGAAGTAAGGGACACAGACAGGTGGGTAAAAGATACAGACAAGTAGGTAAAGGAAACTGAAAGGTGGGTGAGGAGCACAGAGAGATAGGTGGGTGAGCAGATGCATGCAGATGGGTGAGGGGGGGGTACAGACGGGTGAGTGGCGCACACAGACAAGCTATACGCCGGTCTAACATAGTGTATACACATAATATACGTTATATATAATAAATCTGGCAATATCCAGTTATACATCTAATCATAACAGGCATTTATACTCATCTGTAATTGTTTAATTGACTAGTTTTGGAGTTGTCATCATTTTAAGTCCGGCATTATTCTGACATTTTACAACAAATTCTATTTCATGCATTTATTAAACAAATTATTGTATTATAATATGAAATTTTTGAACACTTGTATCATGATAACAGGACCTAAGATTCACTGAGGTGAAGAGCCACACATCACCCACAGGAGCAGGGGGAGTGGGGGAAGTACACTTAGAATGCGGTACAACCAAACCTGTACTGTATCTCTCGGTGAATATACACTGAAAGTTTACCTTAATATACTCTGAGAATTTATCTTGATATACACAGAGTTTAATATGTTACAGTGGTGGCCGTAATAACACTCTAGAGGTTAACAAGAGATTCATATTGCGTTTAGAATTATTACACCTAATTCAGAATGCATTACTACATGTGAGTGGTATCTTGCTCTTAAATTTACTGCTGTTAACATGTATATGATAACGACAAACTGAAATAGTATCTGCCTGTTTTCCTTAATTATTATTATTTTGCAATCATTCGTAATTTTCCATGAACGTACACATTTTATTAACTTCTCATTTAGCTTTAAGATTTTTACCCCCTTTCACTGTTAGGTAATTTTTTGTTGTATTTATTTCATGTTTTGCAGGAAACCCTTTGTGTACTAGTGGCTTCGTTCGTATGTGTGACTCCTCTCCCTACAATTGTATTTTACTCTCATTTTCTTTGTACACACATTCTTGTGAATATGGATTATTATTATTATTATTATTATTATTATTATATTTGTTCTCAGTATTAGCGGACAGTAATTAGTTCAGTGTATATTATACACGAGCAGTGTACACGGGGGTGGGTGTATACATACATGAACACTGTACACAGGTTGAGTGTATATATATATATAAAAACACTGTACACGTGGTGAGTAAGTAGTAGGGATGAGGTGCCAGCTGAAACTGATATTTTTCCAGCCCAGTCAGCGCTGGGTCTTCTGGTTTCCTGATAAATTTACTAGCTTTCCGATTTGGAGTTAACGGATTCTTATGGCAGCAATTGAAAATAATTTCAAAGTTCATAGAAGTTTCTTATAGAAAAAATCAGTGGCAAAGTCCGTTCCCGTCTCTTTAAAATAAACTATGTTCATAAAAGCCTACAGTCTAAAATATCTGTTTAAGTAAATTCTTTCTTACACACGAGTATATTTCTATATAAGTAAAAAAGATACCATTACCCATTTCCCCTATTCTCCGCTCCACCTGTTCCGACCTTACCTCACACCCCCTCCCTCCCTCCCTCCCTCCCTCATCGTTCTTTTATATTTTCGTACAGCTCTTTATATCAATCTACATTTCAGACATCTTAATGTTAGTTCCTTTTACACCAAAACATATCAAACGAATCATCAGACCTCTGTTTTATACAGGTGCAGACCATCCGAGACATCGTTATCAATATGTCCCCTAGACTACCTGTCCACAGGTAGCCTAGGGGACATATACCCCTAGGCATACATACATATGTAGACATATACTACATATTCCCATAGGCTACCTTCAACACCTGACGAATTGGGTTCCCATAGGCTACCTACCGGCAGCCAGTCATTGCAAGCATTCACTGGTGTATTCATTTATATATTTAATAGGTATTAATAAAACGTATTTATTTATTTATTATTTATGCATTTATTCATCTAATTTTAATTTACACAAGTATATTACAGTATTTTAATCCCCAGTATTTACCACACAATATTGCTAATAATAGAAAAACATCCAAAACACTCGCTCAGGGGCACTCCAGCGCACTAACGTTATTATGCCTGTTTAGGGCACCTCAGTCCGCTTAAGTCAAATCTACGAGACCTCGGCTCTCAGTCAATATACATTCTTCAACCTGTTCGCATCTCCCTTCAACATGGATCAATGCCCTCTGTTTCCTGCCTCTAAACAGCGAAAGAGTGCACTTGTGTAAAACTCGTTGCATGTCCTGTTCAACAGCAATATCCATAAACCCGTTATAAGAATGCCGCGTATATTGCATTCAATGTAATGGATCAACTCCACCAGGACATTTCGACGTTACCTGCGCTAGATGCGGACAACTTTATTGTGCAAACCGTAAGTACCTCATCAATTTCTCGTATTTTACAT